TAGTGTTCATATAAAGGGTGGAATAAAAGTAAAAACAATGGAATCGACAAAACTGGTTAATAGGGGAAAGAGTTACTTAGTGATTGGATCTTGGAGATTATGGTAAAGCTAAAATTTTTACGTGGATATTAGTATTGAAAGAAATTTGGGTAAACGGAATATTCAAAGAGAGGATATTGACATAGATTCAAAATATGCATCCAATTGAAAAGTAAAAGAACAACACGATTGAGATCAAAAACCTAGTTGCTTCAGAAGATCAGCCAAAGTCTAGTGAAGTACTGACAGACATGGAAAACGCAAGCTGATTATTTTTTTATAAATGAGTAGCTTCTCGAGACTACCAGCTGATAGGATATATTAGTTGTGTTCACCCTATTTCGTTTAAAGTGATGAAAGTCTAGCAGTTGCTTTTTCCCACATGGAATTTCACATAACCTTGCTTTCTCACAAGGTGTTCTCACCCAAGGTGGACTGCTGTTTCGACTTCGCAAGGCTAAGTGGAATTCAATGGAAACGTCAGCTCTACTCATATAATTGGGGGGAAATTAAACTACCAGTCCTTCCTCACTTTAAACAAATTAGGGTGAACACAACTCATATATATGATTTACCGGTAGTCTCGTAAACCTAATAAATTACGATTGGGGCTCTTGCCGACGCCTCGCTTATTCGTGTGTTAATCGAATTTAGTTGGTCCCCTTCTCAATTCTCCATTGTCGATTGCTTCAGCGAATATAAGTTTGCTTCATCGACAATCCCAACACAGAATGTGATATAGAAAGTGCCTGACATTCCACGAAATTCACATCGGCCCTGTGACACAAGGGCATTCGTGGCAATGTGGCGTATTGGTTAACGTGTCGAGTTCACACGCTGCATTGTCATAGTTCGATTTCCGCTTTGCGGTGTTTATAAGACCTATATGAGGTCGAAACTGCAGTCCGCCCTGGTTGAGAACACCTTTGGGGGGAGCAAAGCTATGTGAAATTAATTCTAAAGGTCAACTCTATTCATATCATTGCGGAAAAATCAAATACCGGCCCTTCATCACCTTAAGCGAAATAGGGTGAAAGCAACTCATATATCTCTTTATTTTACTTAATTCAGTGCCATGAGTTTACTCAAATAAAAGATAGGCCTGGTTAAAAAATGGAGATTCTAAACTCGAAATTTAACAGTACTTCTTAATTGGAAGGGTGTAAGACAATTATGCTTTATAGGACAATAAATATATGCTGGAAGCCAGTGCCCATCTCTATTTCCTCTTATATTAATTATTATATCTGATATTAGAGCTATATTCACCGTATTTTGTTTCAGGTTATGAAGAAGTTGGAGTTGTGGGATAATCAACTACAGCTCCTTTATGACCTGAAACAAAATACGGTAGATATAGCTCTTATATCAGATCTAATAATTAATATAACAAGAAATAGGGATAGGCTTCCAGCATATATTTATTGTTAGCCTCTAAAATTTACTTATGAAAGGAAAAATGATACGATTATGCTTCACACCAATAGCCATCACCTAGTCAAGATAGGCGTGAAGATAATTGCAACATATCTGGGTAGACCCTTGTTTAAAAGCTATTATTATCCAACATTGGTCGCTAAGTTTACTTCAAATGCATCATCCCCAAGCAAAATAACGGTTTTCTCTTTACTTAATGAAGCACAAACGGTTGCAAGTAATCAGAAAGAAAGCAATCTATTTGAGAAACCTTTAAAAATTGTTGAAAAACCATTCAGTACAATGAGCTTCTTAGTAGGAAGATTCCATTGGCTCAATTCTGCTTCAAAAGTAGAATACAGTTTCCTGGGCGGTTGTAAAAAAATACAAAACAACTTATTCGTGCTTTGTGTCAAAGGTGTTGCAAAGTGGGCAATGGCTTGGGTCTGGCTCGAGATTGAGTCAACACCTAGAAATATGATAAAAGTACATATCACCTTAATCACTATAAGAGTTTAAGTTGATACTCATGGAAACTGGTATGGAGTTCAAGAAAGACATGTCTATAGGCTGTGAGCGTATGCTTTTAAAGGCAGGCTCTCAAGACACAGATACATTAAGCATGTGGTTTCACGACCGGATGTGCATTCTTCGATCGAGAACGTGGTGTCTGGCTCAATTGTATTCATGCCAAGCAGCCTTGATACCGTAGCCGGTCATTCAGGCAACGAGGCCGGTCCGGAGATAACAATTACTCGAATTTATGTGCTCCACAGGGTGCATGCTCATAAAGCATACTGTAGCAAGAAAATATGAAGCACATGTCCACCGAAAGTGTGGAGAGCACTTTGGGCTTGCACTCATGCTCGAACTTCAGACATAAATTTATATCCGAATCGGTTGAAGAGGCATAGGGAGTATGAATTGAGTGAAAACCTATAAATTTTGGGTCTCTGCCGGTGGCAATATTGTGGAATTATAGGCAAAATGGTAGATAAGAATTCGGAGGTATACTACGCCTGCATACGTCGACTTGGATGTCTCCTTGTCTGGCCACATGATTTCACAACTTGGTCATGGGGCTCTTGCCGACGCCTCGCTTATTAGTGTGTTAATCGAATTTAGTTGGTCCCCTTCTCAATTCTCCATTGCCCTACCCACCGATTTATTCGTCTTTCTTCATAACTGGCCAGCCGGTACTTCAGTCGTACTCCCCCGCTTTGCGACTGCTAATTAAGCACTTAATTTATCCTCATGTCTGGCGGTCTTCTTGTATGCCTTTGCAACTTTCTATCCATCGTGCAAGAGGAGAGCGGGTAAGAAAAGTGAAGGAGAAAATTTATTATTCTGGCAAAACCAGGCAAGTGCGTGAACTCAGGCAACTGTGATAAGTCTGCGTTTTAAGGTGACTTTCTCAGGAGTTGGGGTCTGATAAAATTGCCAGATCTCCGTCAAAATTGAGCTCTCTCGGGGCAGTCTCATCCTGGCTCGAAGTACTCTGTGGGAGGTGGTCAATTTTAGGCGCTCTCAAGACAGGCAATTGGAAGGAAGCAGAAAAAAGCCGACTAAAATGACTTCCCAAGCAAAAGATGGCATAAATGCATTTCGCTCTTTCACATAGAAAAATTTTAGTCTAGCCCGTCGATAAAAAAATTTCAGGAAGATTCACTCAAAAAAGTAATAATTTGTCGTGCGGTGAAAGCACTGGTTTCTGAAACAAATTTTAGACTGAGTGCCAACCCCGGAATCGCTTACGGTTTGAAGGTATTCCTAGAGTTTTGGTAATCTGTAAAACGTAGACGAACATGGCCATTGTTGGTCAAAGGTATCTGAAAGGAAGCGTTTTCTCTGCTATTCAAGCGTAAATGGGAGCAGGTCAATTATGAATGCCAGAATGGCGCCAATCTCCAATTAACTAACAGCAAAAGGCTTTTGAGAATGTTCATAAGCCTGCAAGTCCTCCTACGGATCGCCTAGTTGCGAGTGGGAAAAAATCAACGTACATATTTTAATATCTTTCATAATTAAAAAAAAGAAATAATTACGTTCACGTATTTACATAATACAGGAATTTAGGTGACTCACATGTTTATATTGCAGAGCCTGCACGATTGCACATAAAAGAGCCAAAGAGCTCAAAGAAAAGACAGTTCTAGGTGACATTGAGCGTCAATGGCAGACGAACCTCCCTCTCAGACCCCTTCAGAACAGGAGGCTAAGGCATAACTGACTCAAAGTTGGAGCAGTGATGATGGGACACTGAAGAGGAGAAGGATGAAGTAGGTACAGGTAGAGGAGAGCGGCAGCAAGTGTCGGGCTGAGTGGAGGGTGAATGAACGGGGGGCTAGAACTGAGACCGATATGTGTAAAAATATGAACAAACTCAAAGTAAAAAAAGGAAAGACATGGAACGGTTCATATGGGCGAGGAGAAGTGAAAAGGGAACAACTGCGGCGGCAGATGTGCGAATAGGCGAGGGTCGGAGAAAGAAGCAGAGGTGAAAGGGAAACATGACGATCAAAGGGTGCGGGTTATTCCTCCTAGTTTCTTATAAACAAGTCTATCACTTTGGTGGGTAGTTGGGGGCAGGGAGGGAGGGGGGGCAAGATGGATGCATGGTTATGTGGGAGATTTGGCGGCTTTTCGAGTCCTAACTTGATCGTGTCTGATAGGCGAGAGCCGAAAGCATGTCGCCGGCGTCTGGGAGGCCGCTGGAAGCTGCCGGACTGGCGGAGATCATCGGCAACGGTGGTGATGACGCTGAATGTGTTCGCAGGCCGGGCAGCAGAAGACTGCCGAGTGGAATGTTTGCCACGACGCCTGTCGACTGTGGCGGTTTGTTCAATAGACCCTCGTGTTCGCTCAGATCCACGGCCTGTTGCAGTTCCAGTCCGAGCATCTGGTCGTCGTGGGGAGAATTGGAATGGAGCTGAAGAGCGGCGGAGTAGGCCATCTGGCCGGCCTGGCTCAGCTGAACGGCAAATTGAGGCTGTTGATGCTGGTGATGCTGATGATGTTGATGATGCTGATGGTGCTGATGATGCTGATGCGGATGTCCCAGCGTCTGGAAGGCGGCCGGTGTACTGACGGCGATGAAACCGCTGCTGTCCACGCCAGAGTCGCTTCCCGTGGCGCTTTGGTTGGTCGTGGTGGCGCTCGTCAATAGTAGACCGTTGTTCAGGGGTCCGTTGAGACCGCCGATCAGCCGATCCGTGTGAACCAAGATCGGCCCCACTGCCGTTGCCATGGGATCACCGAGTGCAAGAGTCGCCGAGGAGGTGTCTTCGTCCAACGGACTCTGGCCGGGACTAACTGGCCGAGCCGTCAGGCCGGTGTGCATAGGTCGGGCCAGAATTGAGGCGGTCTCTTCGCCGGACGCGCCCTGCAACGAGCAGAGGGGCAGACTCGTGGTGATGTACTCCATGCCGGGCAAGTAGACATGTTGCTGCGGGTGCTGGTGCTGTTGTTGTTGCTGATGATGATGATGCGAAGGAGGATGTTGGTGTTGATGCTGTTGAAGGTGTTGTTGGGGATGAGGGTGGAGATGAAGGCGGTGGGCGTGAGGATGCTGTCCGAGGGTGTCGGGCGACGCCGGCGCCAGGGCGGCCGACAGGTCGAGAAGACCGATACCGAGACCGTGGTGCCGACGCAGTGTTGTCCCCGTGACTGGGGCGTAGAGACCGGCTTCGCCGGCAAGCAGATGATGCTCAGCCGGGCCGAAGTCGAGTCCCTCCAACAGCGCTCCACCCGGCCGGCTGATCCATTTGGCCTGAAGTAGATCGTCGCCGGTATCATCACCACTCGTCGGCATCACCGAGAGACTGTCGTAGCCCAGGAGACCACCGTTGCCAACACCGCCCGCCATTGAACCGCCAATGAGATAGCCGTTGCCGGACAGACCATCTGAGCCCGTAAGACTGCCCGTCTGGTAGCTGCCGGGGCCCAGATGTCCGTTGCCCAGACGATGCGTTTGTCCATTCTGTCCGGGCAATAGGACCGATGCAAAGCTGCTGGTACCACCGCCGATGGGAGTGATGCCGACTGGCAGGCCGACGGACCCGTTGGCGGGGGCGCCGATACCGACGGTGGTAGCGGCGACGGCGTTGGCGGCCGTGGCAACGCTAAGAGCTGGCGTGTCGACGCGGAAGCGGACCCAGAAGATTGCGGCAGTGAGACTGACGATGAGGGCGAGGCTGCAGACGACTATGAGGATGAGGATGATGGCGTTGCTCATGGTCGAATCGGTGGTGAGGCCGGCGAAGAGGCCGGCGAACCCGGTAGCCGAGCGGTGGCCGATCGGCTCGCTCACGTTGACGAAGAAGACGGCCCGAGTCGTCTGCATCGGTACGCCCTGATCGCGCAGCTCAACGTAGACGGCATACAGCCCGACGCTCGGAGGGCCCCGGATGGGGCCGGCCAGGCTCGAACCCCGGCCAGCGGTACCATTCATCTCTCGACTCATCCGGTCCGCCTCCGCCTGAGGCAGCCAGTTGGTGACCAGTTGGCCGGTGCGCTCGCGAATCGCGAAGTAGCCGTAACCGTCGGCGGCCGCCGCCTGCCAGACGAGGCCGGAGTCGGCAGTTGTCGGGCCCGACGCCCGGACGGGCACGAAGAGGCCGAGTTGCCCGGCGCCCGGTGGCCATGGGACTGTGTGAAACGAGATGGTACCATTTTCGCCAGCATCGCCGTCAACTCCGGTCACGGTGACCAGCACAATGCCCTGTTGTGTGTCGGCGGGGACCGCGGACCCGGCAGAGGCAGATGAGCCGACGGAGGCAGAAGAGCCGACAGAGGCAGAAGACTCGGAGCCGGAGGCAGGGGCAGATGAGCTGGGCAACCAACTGGCCGGCTCCGTCAGGCCCTCGAGAAGGCTGGCGTTTCTGGGGAAGGTGAGCTCGGGCGCGTGATCATTGATGTCGTCGACGAGGACGCGCAACGTCGTGGTCGTCGTTAGGCGACGGTCACGAGATGAGTCGTGCGCCACGAGACGTAGCAACGTCGTCTCTTGACGTTCACGGTCGATCTGACCGACGACGATCAAACGTCGCCGGCCGTCCAGAGAGAACCAACGGGCCGATGACTTGGCGCCGCCCAGCAGACCGGCCGGATCGCCGCGGGCCGGCAGGGCGAACAGGCCTCCAGGCTGGTCCAACTGTACCGAGACGGTGGCGTTTTCGCCCAAATCGGGATCGTCGAACGTCAACGCCTCGAGGACGACGGAGCCGTAGGCGATGTTCTCGGGCACATGCAGCTCCAGGGGGCCGGTGTACCGGGGCGGGTTGTCGTTCACGTCGAGGATGTCGATCGTCAGGCTCGTCGTATTCGTGTGCACGTCGTCGGGCAGATCGCCGGCCACGAGACCGACGCCGACGCCGACGCCGACGCCGTTCGAGTCGCCGCCGTCGGCCGCCGTCACGGTCAACTCGAGTCGGTCGA